AGTTTGGGCTCCTGGGCAATTCCACACTCCAGGCCTAACTTCTCTGCTACATGGGAAAGGCAAGTGCTGGTCCAAAAGCCCAGCAGAGCTCCGACCCCATGTGGACAAACTGGGGCAGAGCCCCTGGACCAGCCCTTTGGCAGCCAGGAGACCCCCACTCCCACTGCTTGCGGGGAGGCCAGCAGAGCCGGGCACACTGGCGTGATCTTTGTCCTTAGGCTCCCTCTAGAGTTGACATCAAACGAGCAAAAGGTCTGAAAGCTCCAGTTGGCTTCCACATCTCTGGTCAGTGCGGGAGGGCTCAGGGTGGTGGGCAGGCACCTGCAGCCCTCTTCCCTCCTGCAGCGAGGAGGGGACAGGCAGAGCTGCAGCTGGATCTGCTCTGCTGTGGAGACACTGCACTCTGTCCCTACCGTGAGTCAGAGGAAGAGGCTTTGGGCTTCTTCTGCCTCTCCTTGTGCCCTTTTCTAGTGCCTGTCACTGGGAAATTCTACGCAAGGGAATAAAATAGCCTGTTTCCTCTGCCATGCAGAACCTCATAGGATCCTAACTCTGCCAACAGGCATATTCAGCCTATCCCAGTGACCTCTGGGAGGCACAGGGAGGTCTCTGGGATGCCTGTGCCTCACATCCCATGGTGGCTTCATCTCAAATTCCTCAAGGAAGCTAGCATTTTTTTCTTAAATATTGGAGATACATGGAAACAGAATCTACTGAGTAAAAACTAAGGTGGGTCAGGAGCCTCCTCAAGCCTTTCACTCGGGTCACTACATGCCCTGCCACCTTCTTCCTCAACTCCAGAAAGTGGCATCACAGAATCACAGAGTGGTTGAGGTTGAAAGGGACCTCTGGACATCATCTAGTTCAATCCCTCTGCTCAAGTAGGGGCATGTAGAGCACATGGCACAGGGTGGCATCCAGGCGAGTTGTGATCTCCTGCAGAACAACTCAGGAGTTATTCCCAATTCACCTACAATTTGTACGGGGGCATCAGGAATATCAAACAACCCAAATTCACATCCTTTATGCATTGAGTTTAAGGTGCTTTGCTGCTTAGCTCCTTACTAAATGCCAGGGCAGGAGAGTGGCCACAATAGGGAAGGGAAGCTCACCAGAGCAGCTTCAGAGGAGAACAACACCAAGAAGCTCTAGTGGAGTAAAGCTCCTGTTTGGACAGTGGGGTGGGGCAGTGGGAAAAGAGGGGACAGGACGTTCAGAGCCATTCCTCACACAGACCTCCATACAAACAGTCCTCATCCCTTCCTAGTCCCCTCCTCCCATTTTTTTTTTCTTTTTCCCCCTTTCTCCCATCCTCCACCCCGCATCTTTGCCTCTCCTCCTTCACCTTAAACAGCCAGGGGGCAAACGCGAGGGGCGGCCGGGGGACGCGCAGGGCTGCGTGCAGGACCCGGCCCCGCTCGCTCGCTCGCAGGCGGCTGCGCGGCCGCGCAAGCCCCGCCGGCCCCCGCGCTGCTGCTGTGCCCGCTCCGGCAAGACGATGGCGCTCCG